TCTGATTTTCATATTTTTATTTTGAATCATCATCACACTTCGCAATGTTTATGATTAACCATGCGTTGCTATGACGTACATGGAGAATGAAAAGGTTGTTTAACTGATAAGAAGATTTTCAGAAGCAGTCATAATTTCTCAAAAGCTGTACAGTCGTGTTTTACCAAAATTTAATGCTTGATTGTACATACTATTTAAGGTAAAAAACCACATTTTCTTAAAATTTCAACAACTGATATATGTAGCTTTTACACCCACTTTTTTATAAAATCATTTTGTCGTATGTTACACTCTAGCCAGCTGTATGACATACTATAAATCAAGGCATAACAAGGTAGAAGTGATTTCGACATTTCTCTCTTTTCAACTGCGACTGAAATGTCAAATCTTAACCCTATACTATTCAAATTTTTTTTTTTTTTTTTTTTTTTTAATTTTCAATTGTGTGACTGATTTTTAATTCATAATAAAATGAAAAGGAATTACGTGCGGTGCGTTGTGTTTGCTACGAGCCAGGACAACAAACTTGTGCGTTGTTTTAAACCTCCGAATTGTCAAGTGAAGCGACAACGAGGTGGAAATTGCTGCGAAGATTCATTAGGAGACTCTTCACGTGTGCGCGTGACTTTATTTGATGCCCATCGCAGCCGAGTATTTCTAAGCGGACGCGTTTGTTGCCAGGTGCAGGATGTATCATACCGAATATGAAAAGAAAATCCACCACTCATATACATGGATAGACCAAATTTCAAATGGTGGTCTTATAAAACCTAAACCGAAATTCCTTGTCAACATAAAGAAACTGAAAGTAATCTTTAATAAATTTAAAGGAAAGAAAATTTTGAATTTCAAAAATTGAATAGCTAAATTATTGAAGTTAATTTCTGATTTAAATTTAGAAGAATCGAACTTTTTTTTAATGTCTAATATACTTAAGAATTAAGTATTTGAATAAAAGAATAAATGCTCAAACAGATTGGGATAGTAAAATGCAAGAAAATTATCAAAACGGGTTTATAAATAAGTGTTTTTCATTTTATAAATAAGTGTGTTTCATTTAGTGAGTAATTTTGTGAAAATGCAATAACTAAAATGAGGCTGATTCTAATAAGATTTTATATATTTTTATATTTACAAAAACTTTCATTTCAAAGATATTGAGTTTTATCAAATGTGGTAAATATATATCAAATGGTTAATTTCTTTGTTTACATTTTCTGACATAACAGTCAGCTATGAGAGAGCCTTATGCCTTGCTACAAATCACACACACAGCAAGTAAGCAAAAGTATGAAATTGTTGAAATCATTTTTTGCTCGTACGCAAAAAATTTATTCTAATACACCTGAGATATAAATTAATGAATAAAACTCAACAAAATATTAAACAATTTGTCAATATGTGTTGCCGTAGCACATACGACTATCCATTGTATAGGATTGGTGTAATTTTGTCGGATGTACCATACAATTTGTCACATAAGACCATATTTTAACAAGTAATCAACTTCATCTGGGTCTGGTGGTAAACGAGGACAAGACGAAGTATCTCCTGTCATCAAACAAACAGTCAGCACATTCGCGCCTTGGCACCCACGTCACTGTTGACAGTTACAATTTCGAGAAAGTAGAGAATTTCGTTTACTTGGGAACCAGCGTTAACACCGATAATAATGTCAGCATTGAAATCCAACGTAGAATCACTCTTGCCAACAAGTGCTACTTTGGACTGAGTAGGCAATTCAGGAGTAAAGTCCTCTCTCGACGTACGAAAACCACGCTCTATAAGTCACTCATCATGCCCGTGCTGGTATATGGCGCAGAAGCATGGACAATGACAACATCCGATGAGGCGGCTCTTGGGGTGTTTGAGAGAAAGATTTTGCGGAAGATGTACGGTCCTTTACGCGTTGGCGACGGGGAGTACCGCAGGCGATGGAACGATGAGCTGTATGAGCTTTACAACGATATGGACATAGTGCAGCGAATTAAAATACAGCGGCTCCGCTGGCTTGGTCATGTCGTTCGAATGGACACCGACGCTCCAGCTCTGAAAGTATTCAACTCGGAACCCGCTGGTGGTAGCAGAGGAAGAGGGAGGCCCCCACTGCGATGGAAAGATCAGGTGGCGAAGGACTTGGCTTCACTTAGCGTTTCCAATTGGCGTCAGTTGGCACAGAGGAGAAACGACTGGCGTGCTTTGCTGAACTCGGCCAAAATCGCTTAGGCGGTTACAGCGCCAAAAAAGAAGAAGAAGAATCAACTTCATCAAACGGTGACAGGTGACAAGATCAACGGAAATAAGGTGCGAAATAAAGTCAACTGACCTCATTTCCGTTGAACTTATTACCTGTCACCCATCAAACTGTATGCAAATTTTATCATATGTGAAGTTTTTCGTCACATACAACAAAATATTGACCAAGTCGATTGCGAACTTGCAAATACGACAAAAGTTTACTCAATATTTCAAGTATTTTTGGAAGGCAATTTCGAAAATTTTTTTGGCCGCAGTTTTTTTAATTTTTCGGGTATATTAGGTAATTTTTTTTTTAATAGTTCCACTTTATAATCGAAACACTTCATCTGCATAAGTGTAATGATTTTTGGTGAGCTTACTAACTTTAGAATGGTAATGGTAAATGGCTGATAAGAGCTGAGATCTGGTGGGTAAGTAAGAGTACGGGGTACTTGATGAAAAATGTAAAAGGGGTGACCCAACATTCAGCAAAAAAAAAAGAAAAACGTTTTGAAATTGCCTTGAAGAAATTCTTTAGACTCACTAATGTACGTTGTATTTTTTTTGCTGGTACATTCTAATGTAGCTCATACACATTTGAGCATACATACATACGATTTCATTGTTCACATACGTTTTCTACATGCACACAAACTTTAATTTTATGTACACCTTTTTATATTTTCGTAACAAAACAAAAGGAAGATGAATTTGATGTACATATTATATTTATTATTACATATATTAAGGCAATTTTGTTTTTAAATGATTTTTTTTTAATTCCTTTTTGGTTAAAGTAGCAACATTTAAGAATTTTGTTTGAAAGGGGAATTATCTGCTAATTTCTTTTAAAAATAAATAATTAGTTTATTAATAATGAGTTTTTAAAGTGATGGTAAACTAAAAAACAACAACAAGAGAAATACATTATTTTTTAATAAAAAAAACTTTCTAACATGTAAATAAGTCTAAGTTCGGGCGAAACCTTTATAAGTACATAGTATGTATGTATGTAGTGTGTGTAATCGTTAATCACTGGCGGCGATTACGATTAATTAATTTTAATCATTAATCGTTAATCCAATTGAAAAGGAAATCTGATTAAGTTGTCTAGTTTGTCCGAATTTGAAACCAAACACCAGTTACAGTAATTATTTCGTGTTTTACGCTTATAAAAAGCACATAATATAAAAAAAATTATAATAATTATTATTAGTAATACATAAACTGGGAGCTTTTACAACCCAGCGCACATGTGCAGAGGGATATTAAAACCTTTGTAAAACGTCTGTTGGAATAGATCTTCATGAAAATGCACACGAAATTCAGGAAAATTCTATCATAAATTAATTAATCACCAAACCTACTTAATCAAATTAAGGGTTTATAATTAAAAATTCATTTTTTTAATCGTGGTTACGATTAACTGTTTAATCAGATTAAAATTAATCATGATTAACTGTAATCGGACTAAATTTAATCGAGTTAACTAATTGATTAAAAAATCAATCGATTAGTGCCAACACTGGTATATACATATCGTCGCTGAAAGTACAAAACCGCGTATCGTCATTCTGCAAAACCGCGTAACAGACATTTGCTGCCAAAAATTGGATTTGCTCACACAAACTCTTGGCTTAATCCTTATCCATTCGTCCGGTAATATACTAGCCAGAAATACGATTGCTGGCAAAATATTTTTTTATTTTCACTTTTGTTTCAGCATATTTTGATTAAAATAAAAACACTGATAAAAAAAAAATATTTCATACAAACAACAAAAAATATAATCGATAATCGCATGAGGCTATTGCCTGAAAATTTTAAAATGCACTTAGTGGCATTGGCCACCAAAAATTGAGTTTTTTATTAATAAAAAGTATTTTTTTAATACTTTTTGAATAAATTACGTGAGATGACTGAACAGTTTAAGCTTAGAAAGTTTGCATAAAAGTATTAAAAAAAATGGTCCTACGGAATCATAATAATGAGATATTTGATGCTGTTTTTGAACTTTCTTCAAAGACTGGTTTAAGAAAAACTTGAATAACTCAAAACCTTACCAATTTAGACTTA